CACACGCTTCCTCGGGGGTCCAAGGGGGCGCCCATGGCTAGGGAACGCACGTGTCGGCGGGCATGTGACTAAGGAACACGCATGTCTGGTGGGTGCAGGTGTGATTGGGGAACACGTGTGCTGGGGGGTGTGCACGTGTGCTTGGGAACACGTGTGCCTGGGGGGGTGTGCATGTGTATTGGGGGGGGGTGCAGGTGTGATTGGGGAACATGTGTGCCCTGGGGAGTGGCACACATGACCAGGGACACGGTGCCCTGGGCTGGGGGGGAGCAGCCCATGTCCCCTGGAGAGCGGGGGCTACTTCGATAGCACCTCGAGTCACGCGAGACCCGCCCCGATGCCGTCTCTTAACGGCTTCCCTCCCAGGTTCATGGTCAAGGGCAGCCTGGCCGGCGGCGCGGTGTATGTGGCGTACGACCAGGGCCTCCTGGGAAGCGGCCAGCAAGGTGCTGAAGCCCTCCGCAAGGCGCAGGCGGCGCTGCCTCCAGCCATCAAGGAATGGACGAGCTATGTCGGCTGGGAGGTGAGGACCGCGCGGGCAGTCAGGGGCGGAGGTAGCCACAGGGAGCCCCTCGCTGGAGGGGGAAGGAAGCAGAATTCGGATTCTCCCGCGGCATCATTTTGTCGCCGACTTCAGCGGAGTCGGGATTTCACCTTGGAAGGAAAAGGGATTGTGCGCTTGTTTCCTCCCTTCCGACTAGCCACAGGTCTGATGGGAGGTGGGGTGTGCCAGAAACAGTTTGCAGAGGACGGGAGAGGAGCATGAATGTGTCGTCTGGGACATAGTTTCTCAACCCGTTGGGGGTACGCGAGACATGGGCAGGGGGTATGCGGGTACCCCAACACCCACCCTCTCTTCTTCTCTTTCTTGCCCCTTCCATCTCTCAAAACTATGGCCAAAAATGTGGTGCCCTGAACATTGCACGGTGCTTTAAATTCCCCAGTAATAATTTGTCATGCCACGCTTTGCATAGCACTGGATGCAGCCCTTCAAACTTTGACCAACATCGCCTCTAGCTCAGGTACATGCTTGAGTAGTGCACCCCTGGTGTAAAAGGTGTGCAACCCTGCACACACCAGATCAGACATCTATCATATCATAGCCTTATACACAGCTCTTCTTCCAACATATGGCACACATTAGTCTGAAAATATAAAATCCCCTGGAAAATTGAGTGTTGAGGCACTTATTAAATTTTTCAGAAGTTAGGGGGTACTTGCTACTTAAAAGGTTGAGAGAGACTGATCTGGGAGGTGTTTTTATGATAAGTATGCTCCTGACTCCTTGTCTGAAAGCCTCTAAATCAGAGGTTCCCAGCCACTGGGCCGTGGCCGTGAAGGGTTGGCTGCCAGGTCATGGCATGAGCCCCCCTCTTGGACCCTGATCCATCTACCCCGGCAGCCCCAAGAGGGAGACTGCCAGCTCCAGCTCCATTCCGCTCCACAGTGTGAGGAAAAGTTGGGAACCATTGCTCTAAAAATTACTGAACAGATCCACCCTCAAAGACCCACTCCTGCCCTGCTGTTTCCTGTTAATAAGGTGGTCTATAAATTGCTTGCGGTAGTTTTCCCTTGGCCTGGCTCAGACTCCCTAGATTGGAAGATCTGCTGTGCAGGGACAGTGTTTCCTGGACTAGGAAAGCCCTAGTGCCATAAATCAAGATATAACCATAAATCTTACCAGGACTTGGCTTATTAACAGTGACATTTTTAAAAGCAGCCAAGTGGATTCAGATCTAAATCATTTTGGTGCACTTTTAAAATGCTACCTGCTGCCCCAGTCTTGCATATGGGCCAGTAAGAGAGAAGGTAAGAGCCCAGGTTTCTTTTCTGTGCCCCCTGGAACTGAAGAGGGAGTTAGGTGCCCAAATACCTTTTAACAATCGGGGCCCGAGGCCCTTGTTCAGTATGACCTGGGAAGCCTGGTGGTGCCTGTTCTGCTCTTTCCTCTCTTAGCATGTTGCTTAGCAGCTTTGTATGTAGCTAGTGGGCCAGACATTGAGGTTTTGCCTCTTGTTTTCTCTTTCAGCTTCCATCTACTCCAAAATTTGACTTTTCTGTCTCTGAATCCTGGAACAAAGGTAAGGCTCCTGGCTTTTTTGCTGCACAAGGGGGCTGCTGTCACTGATGTAACTTATCCAACAATCCTATCGTGAGGACTCGGCAAGAGCTAGTGCATGGAGCACTGGATTAGGATTTGGGAGACCTGGCTCTGCCACTGACCTTCAGGGTGGCCTTGGGTGGATCTCTTTACAACTCAGTTCCTCAGTTTCCTTGCCTGTAAAATGGGGATAATATTGGCCACCTTTATTCAAAAGTGCTTTAAAATCTACTGATAAAAATGCCATGTAAAAGGCAGGTGGGCTTTTTTGCAGCTAGTAACCCAAGTACAGAAGCACTCGTAGAATTGGCAACAAAGCATGATCGTGCTGAGCTGCTCTTTAGAAGGTCATCAACTAAACATTGAGGAGTTTTTTTATAAAATCCTTCGAGTGCTAGTACAATCAATGGGACTCGGCTTCTAACCTGCTGTGATGGTCTGAAAATGTAAGATGGTTCCCGTTATTATTGGGACTTCTCCAAATAATACAGTACCCTTCTCCAGCCTTTTTGATCTGATTATTGCTAACACATGTGGAAAACATCTAGAAAATTAACTCGGCCTACTTCTCATTTTCCAGAAGGAGAGACTGGTGGGCAAATTGCTTACCGTTTGCAGCCTGAGTCGCACAGCAAGTCTGTGTCAGAACCAGGAATAAAATACAGAGTACCCAGGCCTGTGCTGTAACCATGAAGTCTCCCTTCCTTCAGACCCCTTTTAATATCCTAGACGGATAGGGGTGAAAGGGACCACAAGAGGACATCTCATCCAGCCCCCCTGCTCAATACAGGGGCTGAATTGCCCCAAACATTTGCCAAACCTACACTTACAAGCTTCCAAGGACAAAGGTTACACCATTCTCCTGGCTAGTGGGCTAGGTAGTGGTGGTGGGGAGGACCCACTGACTACTGATGAGACCATAACAACTGCACCAGAATCAGGAATTATTCAGGCCTAGACTTGACTGAAGGTTCCCTTGATATAAGCCAAGATCTCTGGCATTATGTTTAAACGGGGAAAGGTGTGTGACCCATGATACTACATTATTGGTGGTACAACATGCTTTGTTAATGCTCTTCTCAGGATTCCCCTCCGTGTCTCTCTTCTTGCAGGAGTTCACACTGCCATGTCGGCTCTGTCTGTAGCTCCCACCAGGGCTCGTGAATACACCCAGAAAGGCTGGAAGTATGTGAAGGACCTTGCTAAATGAACACTCTCCAGGGCTCGCTGCGTCTCCGAGATGATGCATAGCACGCGCCTCTGAGGGGCAGCTCAGCCACGCAAGGGCTACAATAAAAGACTTTGGAATTTCCCTTTGCATTCGGGTCAGTGTCGGCACGTAGGCTCAGCCACGGGGGCTAGGAGCTGCGGTGGGGACAGGGCCTGATTGGGGTGAGTTCTGCCTAGACCGGTGCATTCAACCGCTGTTATAAAGTTTACCGTTATAAAGCAGGTCTTTCAGTATTGTACAAGTGGAAACCAAAACCCTACAATACCTAACCAGCCCAACAGACGTACTAAAAGATATGGTCCAAGGACAAAGCCCAGTACAAATAATCAGAGATTCAGCAACTGCAGGGAGATGAGGAACATTTTTCTATCTTAAGCTAAATCCACTGGACTGACTGCTATCTCTGACCTATCATCCCATCCTTTATAATCCCCAACACTGATTTAATGCCAATCTTGTGTCCCCTTTGAAATCCACTGATTTGCGTAGCCTTATTCAAATCTACCTAGATTTTGGTCTCAGTAACTTCAATGAGACCTCGACTAATACAGCCTTGTTTCCACATATATAGGCAGCGCCATCAGACCTGCCTTTAGCCAAGGAAAGAAATGCTGCCTCTTATGAAAGGTGTCTTGAATTCTTTTTTGAAATATGTGAAGGGTGATACAGGAAATGATTTGAAGCAGGAAAGGTTAATCACTTTGCTGATGGAGACCAGCTTCTGAGATGGAAAGTATAGCTACAATTCAGGCACTGTGGCTTGCAGAGACCTACTTAAGCTAGTTTTAAAACTAACTAGCTTGGGTACCAGTGGCTGGCTAGCTGTAGAAGCTAGAGCCTGGAGTAATTATTCTTGGAGCATTTACCTATCTTGGGTGGGTGTTGCAGCCTGCCTTCTATGTGGCTGCAGCTATGCTGACAAAAGTACCCCAACTCGGGAGTTTAATGCCAGCATCTGTATCTCTATACAAGCTGCAGGGTGAACATCAATTCTGTCCACACCTGGGCAGAAGGCCGAGCTACAAAGAGCTGAAGCAAAAGTCACACAGCAAATCAGGCAGTGGGAGGACTAACCTTACACGGAAGCATTTGAGGCTCCTATTGTGCTCTACTATGCGGAGGGCAGAACCCAGGAATCTTGGATCCCAAGAGCTGGTTTTTCAGCAGAAGTTGCTGGGGACAAGTCCAGTCCCTTCTTTTATGTACCTGTCATGAGCTGAGACCTCTTGGAAAATCCACTTGCGAGGGGGTCTGCAAGCACTGCTGGCTCTGGATGCTTTGCTATATGATAGTCTCATACTCCCGGTGCGTGGTTTCCATGTAGAACTCCTCGTGTTCATGGTATATTAACATCCGTCTGTGCTGAGGCTGCTGGCTGGCTGAGGCCTCCCTGACTGTGCTCTTTGTGCCTTTCTCTTCTAAGTAAAAAAGAAACAAAACCAAACTACTATCAGCAGTGATTCTTCTGTAGGAGTTGGGATGAGCTCCTAGCTGTCACACCCAGAGCGGTATCTCTAGTGTCCCTGCCCCAGGGTCAGGGACTGAGAGCAAGCCATTGTGCAAATGGGCTCAGTATCTGGGTGCTGAGGGTGTCTGGAGCAGGGTATTTAACTTCACAGATTTCATAGACATTAGGGCTGGAAGGGACCTCGGAAGATCATCGAGTCCAGCCCCCCGCCCAAAGGGCAGGAAGTCAGCTGGGGTCATAGGATCCCAGCAAGATAAGCATCCAGTTTCATCTTGAAGGTGTTCAATGAAGGCGCTTGAACCACCTCCAGTGGCAGGCTGTTCCAGACCTTGGGGGCTCGGACAGTAAAGAAAACTTGGGTAAAACAACACAAGGTTCCTAGTTGGCTTTGGCAGGGCATTGTGTCTGGTGGCTTCTCTGGCCCCAGGGGCTTGGTGTGGGCCTGGTACTCAAACCTGGTAGCTGCCAGGTCTTGCTCAGATGGTCAAGGCTAGACAAGTCGCTGTTAGGGGAGACGCTGTTTCCCCTAGCCCCTGCTGGCATAACAAGGAATAATGGGCACCAGTTGATGGAGAGGAGGTACAGATTGGACATCCGAAAAAACTACTTCACAGTCAGGGGGGGAAGGAGCTGGAACCAACTTCCAAGGGAGGTGGTGCTGGCCCCTACCCTGGGGATCTTTAAGAAGAGGCTGGATACTTACCTGGCTGGACTCATTTGAGTCCCATTTTTGTTTTTAGGGGGAGTGGTTTTGTTTGTGTTTTTGGGTTGTTCTCCCGCCCTGGCGGGGGGTCGGGCTAGAAGATCTATTAGGTCCCTTCCGACCCTGAAACTATGAAACTATGAAGTCACCAGACTTGAGTTTGGGGAGCAGGTCCCTGGGGCAGATTAATAAGGACCTGTGGGGGATTCTGCCTTTGCTGCAGCAAGGGGCCTAAAACAAGCCTGAGGTCGCTGGCGAAGTGGAGTAAGAGACAGAGGTTGGGGGTTAATGGAGGAAACAGGCATGATCAGCTAGTTACCAAGACACCTATGATGTTTCATCCCCAGATTTCCTATGGGTGTGACTTGGGCTCTGCTCTCCTTTCCCCAAGAGACAGATGGATGCTTTGAATGGCAATTCCCATGGCTCCCCCAGAGCAAGTAACCTAGCAAATTTCCACTTTGTCTATTGGACAGAACTGGGGAAGGTGAGTTATTTGAAACCTCCACTTACCTGTTTCAGTATCGAGGGTTCTTCCAAAGAGGAAGACGGTGCCAGCCATCATTGCCGCCAAAGTCAGGATCATCGCAAGCACAGCCCACCAGCGCTTCTGAGGGACAAAGCCAGGCCACTGCTCAGTCCTCAGTGGCCTGAGGAGCTGGGTACCTTCCACCCTACCTTGGGAATCATACCCGGACCTGTACCTGCTCCTAAGCTACCCAAACTGCCTTACTGCCAGCTGTTCTGCAAGGGATGCGGCTATCACCACCTGCATGGTGCAGGGAATGGAGATGCCAGTAACTTAACCAAGGTCATGCAGCCAGTCAGCGGCAGGGTTTGGAACACAAGGTAGGAATCCCAGAGCTGCCTTATTCATAGACTCAGAGATTATAAGACTGGAAGGGACCTCAGAAGATCATTGGGTCCAGCCCCTCTGCACTAGGCCTTGACTCAATATCCACTCCCCCCACACGTTTGTCAACCTACAGCCCTAGTCCGAGATGCGGTGCCTCACACAGGTGCTTGCCTTCATCCAGGCTGCTACATCCTCCAGCTCAATGAAGGCCAAGATGGAGTTTTTCACCCTGGCGATGGGGCCATCCTCATCCACAAGCCGGCAGGTGTGGAACTTGTCGCAGTAGCCTGTCTTGTCCCAGCATGGGGAGCCAGGGGTGAGTGGGATCTGC